GGGCCGAGCCAGCTCCCAGCGCGCGGCCCCAGCGGCCCACGGCGCGAGCCGCCATCCGCGCCCGCAGCCCCGACTCACGAGGGCGCACATGACCTCGCGGCGCAGGCGGTCAGGAGACGGTGCCGGGACGCTACGGCGCCATAGCCTGTGGCTGTGTCCTCCCCAAGGCCCCAGACTGGAGCCCAGGAACCAGGACCTCCAAAACCGCGGACAGCGGGATCACGAGCACGGGCCAAGAGCTGCGCGCAGGCTCGCAGCCCGCGCTTCCGCCCGCAGCTGTCGCGCATGCAGTGACGTAGGCACCCGAGCGACGGCGTGAGTCACGTGGACGGAAGCTCTGCGCGCGGAGAAGTTTCTGTCTGCGAGCGAGTTCCTTCTTAGAGCGAGTATACGGAGCTAGTGAGAGGAGAAGTGAGACGGCTCTCCAGGGGAGATAGCCGCGCCGCAGTCTCTGCCAGGGATCTGGGGCCCCCGCACACGCGCCTCCATGAAATTTCACCCAGATCGGACTCGAGCCATAGCGGGTCATGTGAGAGCGCATGGACGTAACCACCCGATTTTTTTTTTTTTTGCGTTAGAGCTTTCCTTCTTGCTATGGCTCTGGGGTGTGCGTGCTGTCAGTATCCTAGACTTTCTCCGAATCCACCCCGAATGGTTTGCCTGAGAGCGATCCTGCAGGAGCAGGAGCCAGAAGCGCTCCCCGGGGGTCCCATTCCTAGGGTAGCTCGAGCACACCGTAAAGGAGCTGGATGAGAAGCTAATGTTTAACTCATGGACTGGCCCAGCGTTAGCTTCCTGGCAAATAATAACGGAACTTTTAAAACCTCGAGGTCGAAATCTATTCCCTATGGTCTGGGGATTGCGCTAATACCGAAGTGCAACTGAAAGGAAGCGGGCCGTAACTTGATGGCAATAGTGAATGCAGGCAAGTTTGGCGACAAGCGAAGGTGGGTGAGGATGCAGACTGCCGTAGTGTGTCTGTTTTCTCTGAGTTACTGCTTCATCAGATGTTTACCTTGTGTAGCCGGCGCTCTGGAGAAGAAAAGATAGGGGGTGAAGGTGAGATAATGAGAAGGATAGCATCCAGTGTCCGCCTCGATGTCTCTGTTTCCCTTAGGCTTTTTGGAACTATCTAGTGTTTGATACAAAGAAGACAGCTCTGTTCTGATCACCACTGTGACTGGAAATGGAACCCTTAGTATTGTTTCCGAAATACTTGAACGTTTCTTCATTTTGGAAATTCCATAGAATGAAAAATAATATAACAGACTCCTTTCTTGGAACTATTAGGAATGAAAACAATACTTGATACACCATTGATATTACTGTCGCATTTATTAGATAACGTACTGAGCTATCTCGAAATGCAGTGGACACATACAGTAGTTTATATAAGCCAATGTTACCCAGACTTTAATGGTTTCCATGTTATCTCCGATAATTTTCACCATATTCTGTCAAAGATAAAGGCAGACACGAGTTAAGGGGCCAGCAAGTGGTTCAGGCACTGGATTCCCACATGGTTCACCGTTGGAGTCCCAGAGGCTTAAAACTCACGCTAAGCCCAAGTGCATGTGTGCCCCAAATCTTGCCATGTGGCCGTCAGTGGTTTCTCACTTACTTTCTCTCTCTCTCTCCAACAAGTGCACCCACCCTATAGCAGAAAATCTCTCTCCAAAACAAACAGAGAGCCACTGGTTAAAATAGAGTAAGGACAGATTTTCAAATAGTGATATAATGCAGTAGAAAGTCCAACGGGAAATTAACTTCCATTTCTACAAAGATGACTGGGTGTTTTTAAGAGAGAATGGAGGAATGGTGAGGGTTAACAGCAGTGCTGAGCAGAGTTAAGGAGATAGAAATTTACAAAAAGCTAGAGGAAGCATAGGGAGGTTGGTCAGTTTGAAACCCACAAACACTGAGAGACAGGTTCTCTATTTTTAGGTGTTGGCTGGAACAAATTCTTTTGGCAGCTGGAGCCATCTCAAGTAGGTACTAAAGGGGACTAGAACCACCATTTTACAGATGCAGCCCTGTGCTGTCGAAAGTAAGTGGTGTGGATGAAATAATTTGTGCTGAGAATTTAGTTTTTATAAGCTACGGTTGAGTCCTTACCAAGAAGAGGGCTCAGAGGAGCCTGGCTTAGAGTTTGATCTCTCTTGGTTTAAAAAGTGGAATTAGGGGCAGGTCAGTGGCGCAGCAGTAAAACTCCATAATCCGTGAGGTTTGAACCTGAACGTGCAAGGCAGCATATGTACACATGCACAAACCGTCTGGGCCAGCTGAGGCTACAGGGAATCTCAGCATGAAGACCCTGTCAGGGTTGTCTGCCTGTCACAGAAGAAAGAGATTTTTTTTGCGGGGGGGGGGGGGCTGGGACACAAC